CGTCGCACACCAAGGGGTTATGCTCTGGCGAGATGTGAGGCGCATGCGCCCAGGAGGGGAGGGCGCATGCGTAACGACGCTGCTAGAGATGCCTTTCGGGGCCCAGAGATAAAACTTCTGATGCCATGCGTGACCTAGTAGTGTCCCCAGCTATGGGCGTGTCCACGTTGGAGCCAGGTGTGGTGTGGGCGCGAGAATAGCTCCGCCGTTCATGGAGGCAACCGATGCGAGTCGACTGGTGTGTGTCGTCGTGGTTTCGTATAGGTAGGTAGGTAGAAAGGTGAAGAACAGCCAGGCTCGGACTGGACACCAACGCGGTATGGGTGGACGCAAGACAGATGATGACGACACGCACGAGCGACACACAGACACAAACAAGCTCACAAGACACACAGCCAGCTGGCTGCCACACACCCTGAGTTGGCGTACACATAACTCAGGGCCACATTCCTCCTGTCGCCCCCCCCAGCACTCCAAGGTGCCAAGAGAAACAAACAAGGGCACAACATCACAACAGACGACAGGAGGTAATATGCGAGGCTAGAGCAGGCTTGCTCCACCTCTAGCAATCTCGCCGGCCGGCGAGGCACGGACGAGACCGTGTGTGGGGTTAGTGAGGTGTCTATGGTCGCCCTCCTCACGGGCTAGCCGCCAGCGGCCAGCCCTATCTCGCACTCACTGGCGGTGACAATTCAATGTGTGAGTGTTAGCGAACAGAGGCACGTGTGCTAATTCTAGGCCGCACGTCGTGGCACTATGACGAAGGTAGACGTGCGGCTGCAGCGCGCCCGCCGCAGGCTCGGCGGTGCGCGCGTGTTAGCGATAAAGTTGCGGGTAGAGCCGTTCCCGACTTGTCGAATGCGAGGCCTCTGCGACGAGTGCCAGTCGCGCTGCGGAGCCACGCCCTTCGAGCCGCGTCCCGTCGGCACTACCCTCGAGTGCGTGTCGCTTTGGTTGGCGACACCCACTCGTCGAGGGCAGTCCAGCCGACGGGAGCCTGTCGCGCGCCGGCGACGAATGCGGCGGGGTGGGTGTGGGTACAAAGCGCCGCTTCGACGAAGCGAGGTAGGCAGGCGCCCCTCACGAGTCCGTTCAGACATGCCACACGCCCCTCGCAAGCGAGGTTGGCAGGCGCCCCTGGCGAGACCCGCAAGAGATGCCACACCACCCTCGTACCTATACTCCACCAAGTCAAGGTGAAAAGATCTTATCAGCCAGGCGGGCAGGGCAGGCGGGCAGGCGGGCGGGGTCAGGGAAGAGGGCCCTCGGGTTACGCCTCGCCCGGCCCCCTCCGAGGGGGGAAGGGGAAAGAGTGGGGCCCTCGGGGTGCGCCTCTCCCGGCCCCCTCCGAGGGGGGAAGGGAACTATTCTCTGTCCATCTACAGCGTGGGTGGTGGTACACTGCGTCGAGACAGCTCCGCCTCGCGCCCTGCCTTCCTGGAATACTTACGAATACCCTGGCTCTGGTGTGTGTACGCAATCGTATCGTCGATAGAAGGAGCGAAACACGCACAATCAGCCCAGCCCACCAAAAAGGAAAGAAAAGCGACGAACATGGAGGGATGGAAGGACGGCCCACCAGGGCTCGGAGGAATTTAACAAATACAAGTCTCTCTCATAGCCACGTGGCTCGAGCAAGGCGTTTACTTGTAATTGCTCAGCGGACGTCCGACGCGACTCACGAACGACGCCGCGTGTCTCGCGCCTTGCGGGGACGCACATGACTGGCACGGACCGCGACGACGACGGCGCTGCCGTGGCCCGCGTGGAGCCAAAGCATGTGGTTCGCGACAAGCTGGTTCGCCACTGGCTGGAGGGCGAGGCTGGCCGCGACCTCGTTGCCATCTTTGCCTCCTCAATCAATGGCATTGCGGCCGCATCAGAGTCGCAGGTCATGCGTGACGCGGTTGCCGGATCGCTCCGGCAGGGGGCAGGGGTGGTGCGATCGGATGCGGCGCGCGTGCTCATTGCCAATAGCCTCGACGTCGCCGCCGAGACCATTGAGGCGGACTCCGCGGGCCGTGCGCTCGCCGACGCCCTCCGTGCGGTGGTGCATACGGCAGAGTCGGACTCAGCGCACGCAGCGGTTCAAACGGCGGTCCGATGATCGAGCCTCCCGTGCGCCTGGGCACGACACTCGTGCGGACTGCCGTCGAGAGCCAGACCGTGCATGCCGCCCTTAGCCTCGCGGAGCATCCTGTGGTGCAGGCGGTGCTTCATAGCGAGACAGTGGAATCGACCGAGCGGTGGACCAAGTGGGCGCTCCAGCGGATGGGCGCGAGCGAGACGGTGCGAGGGCTCGGGGAGAGGACCAAACAGCTGGTGAGCGGAGCTGTGCAGAGCGACCTCGTCCAGTCCGCGGTCCTCAGACCCGAGTTTGCTTACTGACGGCACACATGATGAAAGGATCCAGCCTTGGTCCTGAGGCGATTTCGGTTACCTCGTTCTTCGTGCGGCGAGGGGCATGGCGGACCCGGCGACGAGGCGCTCGAGGGAGCCGCCGGGGTCGGGGGTGTGAGGAGGCGTTTGTGGTCGAGAGAGAGAGCATGCAGGCGCCATTGGTAGAGTTTGTTGTGGCTCCCGTAGCACCAGCGCGCTCCGCGCGCACGATAATCCAGTGCCTACACTTGTAGGCACTGAAAGCTTGTTTCTGCAGCTTGGCAACGAAACTCGGTCACAAAAGGGATTCGCTCTTTCCGATCACCTCGGGACCTCGCTATATACTACTTTACGCGCTATCC